GTTGCAGCAGTCAGAGCTCAGTTTTGGTAACTAAGCTGTGCCCTGGTTGGTTGTGCTGACTGAGGGCATCTCCTGTAACTCCAGGCTGGATCCAGGCCCTCCTGCTTGTGTCCTGTGCAATGCTTTGGGAGGGGAATGGATGGGTTTTGGGTGGCACTTCATCCTGTGGCTGAGCTGTAGGGATCTGCCAGTGTCAGTCCTGGAGCTTAACAGACCTTAGCTAGAAGCAAGTGGTGCTGGAATGCTGCTGACTAGCAATGAGGCTGCAAAACACAAGGCTCTGGAGTGAGGGGGAGGCTGGGAATAAAAGCTGCTGAGCTGTCTCAGCACTGGTGTGTATCAGGTGTAGTGTGAAGCTCTCCTGCTGCTCCTGGGAATGTGGTGCCTGGAGGAGGCAGGAGGATCCCCTAGGCCCTGGATACCATCTCCCTGTCAAAACTGTTTCCCTGTCTGAGTGGCACCAGGGAAGGGGTGGTGCTGACAGTGGGTTCCCTCTTGATCTCTGCTGTTCCTCTCTAACAGCTGTGGTCTGGCTTATTCCAGGGTCAGGCCGTGTCACCTTCAACAACCAGCGCAGTTACCTGAAGGCTGTGACTGCTGCATTTGTGGAGATCAAAACCACCAAGTTTACCAAGAAGGTGAGTGGGGCTGGTGGGACAGCCCATTGAGGGGTCTGTGTGATAGATGTGGTGCTGCTGGGAGCAGCAGTGTGCATGGAGCCTGCCCCATATTCCTGCTCAAGCAGCAGGAAGTGGGACTGTTGCTCTGCCAGCCCCAGGGGTGCTGCTGGGGATGGATTGGAGGTACCAAGGGACAGGGCAGTCACCCTGGTGCTGCTCCATGCCACTGCCTCATTCTCCTGCAGGTTCAGATCGACCCATACCTGGAGGACTCCATGTGCCAGGTGTGCAATGCCCAGCCTGGCCCATTCTTCTGCAGAGACCAGGTAAGGCCACTTCTGCAGCCTGTGCTCAGGGGTTTCCTCCAGGAGGGGTCTGTCCCTGGTTTTGGGGATAAATACCCTGGCTCTTGCCCAGTGGGGAAGATGGGGCTCAGCTGGGAGGGTGGCCTTGCTTTGGAGGAGGTGCAGCCTTCCTGGGGAGGGCAACTCTGGTACTTGCGAGGAGGCCCAGGCAGGCAATGTCCACCCAGCTTTGAGGCTGGGGTGCTGCAGTTTGCTGGTGCTGTGCCAGCACTGGGACCTAGAGTGGGAGTGACTGGTGCCCCTGAGGGGAGGGAGGCTGCTGCTCTGTGGGCCGATGATCTGGGGTCAGGGTGCATCCCCCTGAGGCACAGGGAGCTCTGGCTGACATCACATTGCTGCAGGCGAAGGAGCTTGGCTGGGCTCTGGCAGCTTCCTGCGGAGCTGGGATGGGATATGAGCAGGAGGCAGGAATGCCATGGAGTGATGGGAGAGCCCAGCTGCTGCCCCAGTGCCCAAGCCCCGATTCTCAAACCTGTTCAAAAGATGGAAGCTGGGCACAGCAGGCCCTCCACAGTGTGGCTGGCATTCCCTGTCTCCAGCCCATGGATCTGCCGTGCCGGTGGGTGCTGTGAAACAGGGCAGGGAGCAAGGGGAGGAGCGGCTCTGCGGGTTCTTTGCTGCTGGAGACACCCCAGTGCTGCCCCTGTGCTCTGCCCACAGATCTGCTTCAAGTACTTTTGCCGCTCGTGCTGGCACTGGCAGCACTCCATGGAGGTCCTGCGCCACCACCGCCCGCTGATGCGCAACCAGAAGAACCGGGACTCCAGCTAAGGGGCCGCTGGGGTGCGGGGCTGCCGCGGGCGCGGGCAGAGTCCTGGGAGAAGCTGCCACAAGGAGAGCGCAGCAGCGCCTGCCGGAGCCAGGCCCGGCTGGGAACGTTCTTCCTGAGGACTGACGGGGAAAAAACAAAAATCTTACATTCATGTTTGCACTTGCTGGTCTTTTTGTTTCTGCACTAATGCACAGTGAGTTTTGTTGGGGTTTGTTTGAGGGTGTTTTGAGGGGGGGAGTGCCCCTCAAGCCATTCTGCAGTTCCCAGACTTTGGTTCCTGGTTTGCTGATGAGAAGCAAAAATTGAAAACGGATAAACCCAACCAACCAAGGGCCATGTGTCGCGGAGGCGTCGCCACAGGCGCCTCCGCCCTGGTTTTTTTATTTTTTAAAGGCGCTTTTTTACATTCCTTGCAATACTGGTGGAGAGAGCGCAGGTCTCATTGGTCATTGTTTTGCCGTTGCCATACAGTGCCTTTCCATTCATTTACCCCCACCTGGATGATGTGACCTGGGTGTTCAGCTGGCGTTTTTTACTGTAACAACAAGGAGACTTTGCTCTTCATTTAAACCAAATCATATTTCATATTTTACGCTCGAGGGTTTTTACGAGTTCCTTTTTACACTCTTAAAAACAGTTTTTAAGTCGTTTGAAATGAGAGATTCTTTTCTTTTCCTGGCAGCTTTTAACATTATTGCAATTTGTGTCTGGGGGCTGCTGGCAGGACGTTGTAAATCCAGGGGTTTGCAACGGGACAGGCCGGGCTTTGTTTTTGTTTTTGGATTTGAAACTGGACGGGATGAGGATCTTTGAGCTGCTGTATATAGTTTTAAATAGTTTGTTGCACTTTTTTAAGTTGCACTTATGGGGGGTTGATAGAGGTTTTTAATCACACGAAGTCACAGGACTTACCTTTTCTTTTGTAACAAGCTAAAAAAGGGCTGCGTTTGGTGGACGATGAAGGTTCCTGGGAGCCCTTTCTCTTAGAGGGGACAAGTAATTTTCCTTTCCTTCGCGAGATGTTTGGAGTATCAGTGCAGTCGACTGAAATGCTGCTGCTGGGATTTGAGACCTTAATTATGCTGATCCATTATTATTTTGTTACTTCCCCCTCTATTGGAAGCTGTGTGCCAAAGAACCAGTGTCATAATTTCTCCCTCTTTACTATGTTTTGTTTTTTTTTTTCCTTTACTGCTGAGCTGATGTTGCATTGTTGCATATCCCAGCTGCTCTTTGTGGGGTTTTGTGAAGCTGTGTGTGAAGTCTCTACCTCATTGTAGTATATGCAGGCAAGACTGCACTCTCCTACAGACGTGTGGAGTAAGCTGTGGTGTAGTTTTTGGCACATAATAAACACGTTGCAGCAAAAAAAACCCAACTTTCTTGTGCCTTGTGTGCTTCGTGGGAGCTCTCTGCAGCTTGGAGGGGCTCTGGTGTCACTTCCCGGAGGTGTAGGAGGAAGATGTGGATGTGGTTTGGGGGGAGGGATGGATGGAGCTATGAGTTATGGATACTGTCAGTGGGTAACTCGGTTGGGAGGGAGCTCTACCTGCTGGGCAATGCATTTTTAGGTCCTGCTTCTCCGAGGTCCCTGCAGGCCCCTAGACTCCAGCTGGAGCTCCCCTAATTGCAGCAAAAGTTGATGAGGCTGATCGGAGAGGAGCCGGTGTTGCCCTGTGTTCTCCTACTGTGGCAGTGCAGGTGCTGCTCCTGCAGGACTCTGAGGGGAGAGGGGACCCCAGGGCTCCTCTGGGGCTGGGGAGGGCTGAGTTAGGACTGACACAGCGGACACCTTGTTGTGCCCCGTTTCCCTGGAGCACGGAAGGCTTTAACCTCCTTCCCGGTCCCACCGTGCTAACTCTGCAGCAGCCTCGTACGCAGCGCTCCTCCTTTGGGCCTGGCTGCTGCCGCTTCCATGGGTGGTGCGGGTTTGTGGCTGCTCGGTGTCCTCTCTCGAGCAGGGCTGGGAGGGGCTGGCACCGCAGGGATCTGAACTTCCCTTCCCGGGCCGCTCCCCGCGGATCCTGTTCCGGGCCGCGGGGCG